GTATTGAAGAAAAGAAAAGTAAACTTAAGCATAGTTTTGGTTGAGAGTTTTACGACACTTATATTATTGCTACACAAAAAGGTCATACTGGTGCCGGAGATCTGAGGTATTACTACAGTGTAACATTTAAAGAAAAGAAGGAGGAGAGATAAGAACAATAGAAAAGATTAAGGAGCAAACCACACTAAGGCACCCGCCAAGCGCCCACAAATTCAAGTAAACTGTAACCCCAACGGTAGCTTCGCAACAAGCAGGAATCAGTATTTCAATTCACCGCATTCCTTTACCCCCACACACTGTTAAAATAGGGTTTCTTTTCTTTTCTTTTCTTTTTCTTTTTTTTTATTTAAACATCCAACCCTGAGACTCGAGCACACAATAACGAGTGATGTTTAAACTAAATTCCGTCCCTCTCGGTATGCCGGTAGGCACTTTTCCGTTTTCGGAGAAGAGGCACGGATGAAATCAGAGGAATCTTAATACGAAAGACATACACGATCCATGAGATCCTGTTACAGGCTGGATTCTTTCATTCCACGAGAGGGGTTGGGCATGAGGTTATCCGCAGATTCCTTCCGTCTACCATTAAACAATCACTGTTCAAACGCAATAGCCAATTTTTTAAATTAATCTTTTTTTTAAATATTTTTTTTTAGATTTACACCTGTGATTTTTTTCTTTCATTTCACTGGGCTAGGCTAGTCGATAACGCTAGATCTAGAAATCTAGTAGATAAGTCTATTGGTGTGTTTAGAAATATAGATCTCAATAAGTACCATAATATTGTCATTAATGTTGTTCTTTAGACTCAGATTTCGGGTAGATCCATGGCAGTTGTCACAACACACAAGCCAAAACCACGGTAACAATAACATAATATTTTATTCTTAACCTTTATCACATTGTAAATACGAATGGTATACGAATTAATTATTTATCAAATCCGAGGATGGAAGAACAAAAGGATCCGGCAGTTAAGCGCAAGCCACTGCACCCAATCGAAGTACTAGATCTACTACTACTAGATCTACTACAACAGTAACTGACCTCTGTTAGGTTCCGATGTTTTCCGTGTCTCGACTGTCCCAACCAACACAGATGTGACAAAAACGGCGATCACAACAGCTCTCCACGACAAGCCTTCACCACACAGCGAGTGCTAAGTCCATGGCGAGTGGCGAGATCTGAGATCAGGCAAACGGGTTGCGTTAGGTCCTTTCGTTACCTGCGCTGTGGCGCGCCAGGCGGTGGGACTTCTGGCGTGTTTTCCTTCCTTCCTTCGTCACCTCCAGCTTGGTTTGTCGCGGGATGGAGCTGGGCCAACACCTGAATTGTAAATCCGGATAATAAATGTATTCTCAAAACAGGGTCGCCTTTTCATGAGTGAGTGATCAAGACATTTTAAAGTATATATGTTTCTCTAAGCTTTTTTTGCGTATAGAACTAGGATTGCGGACTTATGTATGTGTGTGTGTGATTACGTGAGTGTGTTTATGTGTGTCTTAGTGTGTGTGTGTGTGTGTGTGTGTGTGTGTGTGTGTGCGTGTGCATGCATGCACATTTACGCGTTTATGTGAATGGTTGATGTCCTAGAAACATGGCCATCGCATAGAGGTGAAAAGACTTTTGTAAGGTTTCTATCAAATGTAGACGCCACTGAACTGATAGAAAAGTGAGCAAGTCATTTAACTTCAGTTTTAGAGGAAATCCTGTACAAAATCGTATTCCTTATTCTGTTATTGTTTTTGAAGATATACGTTGTTTGACCTGTAATCCATGGGCTACTGTCATAATAGAAGATAACGTTTTTTCTCTGGTGTGTCGAACTATCAAACGTGCTCGATGTTATGTGCGCACATGCGTGTCTATGTTTGTGTGTGCGCTTTTGTGTTTGCGCTCGTGCGCACGCATGTGTGTGCATGCGCGCGCGCGCGCGTTTGTGTGTGTGTGTGTGTGTGTGTG